CCAGAGAATAAAAATTTCCTACTTACTTTACAAGGCCAGCGTAACTCTGATAACAAAACAAAGCAAACCAGCTCTGGCTGGTGTAGCAGTGGATTGAGTGCCGGCCTGTGAACCAAAAGGTCCCTAGTTTGATTCCCAGTCAAGGCTCATGTCTGGGTTGTAGGCCAGGTCCCCAGTAGGAGGCGCATGAGAGGCAACCACATTGATGTTTCTTTCTCTTTCTCCTTCCCTTCCCCTCTCTCTAAAAATAAATAAGTGAAATCTTTAAAAATAAACCAAACAGATAAAAGACAAACCCCCTCAAAAGAAATAGATGAGCCACTCCTATTTTCTTTCTTTCTTTTTTTAACTTATGAGGCTCTGTACTTTTTAAAATTAAATTTACTAGGGTGACATTGGTTAATAATAACATTATATAAGTTTCAGCTATGTACCTTTATAATATGACATCTATATATTTTATGGTATGCCCACTGCCTAAAGTTTCGTCCCCTCCCATCACCATATATTTGATGCCCTTCACCCACTTCACCCTCTCCCTACTCCCCTTCCCCCCTGGTAACCACTATTCTGTTGTCTGTATCTATGAGTTTGTTTTTGTTTATTTGTTTTGTTTCCTCATTTGTTGCTTTTTGTTTTCTATCTCATATGAGGGCAATCATGCAGCTCCTGTCCTGTTCCGTCTGACTTATTTCACTTAGCATATAATATTCTCAAGATCCATCCATGTTGTTACAAATGGCAGTATTTTATCTTTTTATAGCTGCATATTATTTCATTGTGTATATGTACCATATCTTGATCCAATCATCTGTTGATGGACACTTATGTTGTTTCCGTGTCTTGGCCATTGTAAGTAATACTGCTGTGAACATAGGGGCACATATACCTTTACAAAAAAACATTTTGAAAAATTTTGAGTAGCTACCCAGGAGAGAGATTGCTGGGTATATGGTAGCTCTACTTTTTTTTTTTTTTTTTTAAAGAGAGAGGAGAAGGGAGGGAGAAAGGGAGGGAGAAAAACATCAATGTGTGGTTGCCTGTCCTGCGCCCCCGACTGGGGACCCAGCCCACAACCCAGGCATGTGCCCTGACTGGGAATCGAACCTGAAACCCCCTGGTTCGCAGTTCAGCACTCAGTCCACTGAACCACACCAGCCAGGGTGGTAAATTTCCTCTTAATTTTTTAAAAATATTTTATTTATTTATTTTTAGAGCAAGGGGAAGGGAGGGAGGAAGAAAGGGAGAGAAACACCAATGTGTGGTTGTTTCTCATGCACCTCTGACAGGGGACCCACCTGCAACCCAGGCATGTGTCTTGACTGGGAATCGAACCGGCGACCTTTCTGTTTACAGGCCAGCACTCAGTCCACTGAGCCACACTAGCCAGGGAAGATGTAAAAGTTTTAAAGAAAATGTGAGCAAACCAACCTAGAATTATATGAAAAGAATAGTTCATAATGACAAGTAGGGCTCATCCCAAGCAAAAATAAGGACATGGACAAGTGAAGAAGGTAAAACATAGGGTCATGTTAGTAGGTGCCAAAGCATATGAATCTCTTTTCCATGAGAGCAAAAACCCTTCAAAGTATGAATCCTCGGAGAAACAGAACTTGGCTCCTATTACAGAAGGTGGAAATAGAAGATACTTGCTTTCACTGACCCCTTGCAGCCGAGTCATAGGCCACGACCAATCAGACTTTCACTAGACTTTGAAGGAGTTAGTATCACAAAGGAGTAGGATTGGTGCCAAGTTCTCTCTCTGCAGCAGGGTGGTTGTGACAACACCGAGTTGCTGGCTCAGCAGGTGGAGCGGAGCAAGCTTCAGTGACCTGGTCTTGCGGCAGGAGCAGAGATTTGCTCACCAGACTGGTTCTGCAGCCTACTCTGGACACTGTCCTGACTACACAGTTCCAACGCTGGTTCTCTAGCCCTCACTGACAAGTCTATGAAGTAGTCGATATATTTTTAATACATTTATTTTCAGTCTAAATTAACCAGCACATTTTCTGTGTACTTACAACTAAAAACTCTGATACCAATGCAGCAAAAACCAACAGCCTCAGGGACCTTATTCCACATTACAGTTTCTCTATATGCAACTTTCCACCTCACTTCCTAGTGCTTGCTGCCTTATTTTCTCCACATTTTTTAAAGGGTTTATTTGTTTATTCTCATTTGAGAGAGAGGAGAAGGGAGAAAGAGGAAGAAAGAGAAACATCGGTGTGAGAGGGAAGCATTGATTGGTAGCCTCCAGCACACACCCCGACTAGGGATCAAACCCATAACCTGGGCACGTTTCCTGACTGGGAATTGAATCAGTGACCTTTCAGCATATAGGACAACACTCCAACAAACTGAGCGCCTGGCCAGGGCTTTTCTCCACATTTTTAAATGTCTTTTTGCGGCCGGTAAATTATATAAATGGCAAGTCCACAGATTAACTGCATCTGGCTCAGGTGTGCACCCCTGTCCAGTCACCAGTGGCGAGAGACAGGGGCTGGCTTATGGGGTTGCATGGCACCCTTTTGGGAGGACAGTAGGTAGAACACTTTAATCATTAGAAGAGCAGTGGGCCAACGGACGTGGTGGCTGAATCCCTGAAACAGGCACCTAATCCGGTTTCGGGAAGTTCTGAAAGGCTTTCCGCAAGGAAGAAATTCTATGCTAGAGTTTTCCATATAAGTTCTGAGTTACACAGAAGGGGATATGGGATAAGAGCAGAGTCCACACACAAGAAAGAGAATGGTCTACAGTGAAGGGTGGAGTGTTGAGAGATAAGGCTGGACAGGCAGGCAAGGTTGAGAGCACACGGGAGTCTATTGGTCATGCTAGAGATCTTAGACTTCCTCCCAAGGGCTGTAAAGGGCCATTGATGAGTTTTAAGCAGGGGAAGGATTCAAGCAAATTTGAAGTTCTGAAAGACAATTCCAGTGGAGAATGGGAAGAAGGAAAGTCAGAAGGCTCAGAGACCAGATGGGAGGCTGTTACAGTGAAAGTAGAGATGGCACCCCGGACTAGGAATGGTGGCAGCAGGAATAGAAAGAAGAGGATTTAAGAGAGATTAGGGGGCAAAGTAAACAGAACTTGGTGACAGGTTGGATGTGGGGATGAGGGAGAAGAGGAGTTAAGGATGACTATCAGGGATTTTGCTGGTATTGATTGAATGGCTAGATTAGTGATTTCCTTTTTTTTTTTTTTATTATCTTTTTTGTTTTTTTCTTTTTCTATTTTTGGTTTTTGTTTCATTTTTGTCTTTTTTTGTTCTTTTTCTTTTGTTTCTATTTGTGTTTACTTTTTTTGTATCCACCTTAGATGAATGATTTTTTTTTTTTTTTACTTTTTATTTATTGAGGAACATCAACTGATTGTTCTGCTCTTTGATGCATTCCCTGGTTGCTTCTTGTATGTGCACTGACTAGAGACTGAACCCTCAACCTTCACATACTGGAACGACACTAACCAACTGAGCTACCCAGCCAGAGCCAGTGTACTGTGGGCACACTGAGGTGCTGCAAGAATGTGTAAAACATATGGTACCTGATTATTTAGTCACTGGCACTGACATTTTTTCTCTTAGATTTTCAAATTTGAAAAATGACAATAGTATGTGTAAATGTCCTGTCATGAACCATAAATACATAGGTCATATAACAGAGCTGCATCTTATTGGTCACATTGCATAATAAGTTGGCCTCTGACTGGTTAGTTCTTGGTACCAGAAATCCTTATATAAGAGTATAGGCACTTTAAAAAAAAAAAAAAAAAAAAAAAAAAAAAGGTGGTTTGGGCCCTGGCTGGTATGTCTTAGTGAACTGAGCGCCAGCTGTGAACCGAAAGGTCGCCGGTTCAGCTCTCCCCGATCAGGGCGCATGCCTGGGTCGGGGCTTGTAGGAAGCAATGGATCGATGTTTCAATGTTTCTCTTCCTCTTCCTTCCTCCATTCCCTGCTCTCTAAAAAATAAACAAATAAAATCTGAAAAAAAAAGGTCACTTTGGAACAAAAAGGTAGGTAATTACTATTTTTGTAAATCAAAATTATACCAATTTTCTGTCAGATAGGCAAAAAAATATATTTTTCGGTGTGCTACAGAATTTTAGTAATTCGTTTGTGTGCCGTGAGGTGAAAAAGGTTGATAATTGCTTGGCCAGACAAATTAACGGATGATGGTACATCCACCAGGCTGGACAACACAGGAGGATAAGCTACTTGGAGAGAGGATGAGCTCAGTTTTGAGTGTTTAAGTGTCTCTGGGACATCCAAGAAATCCAAAAGGCCGTGGGACATATGTGTCTGGGTCTCAGGAGATGGATCTGGGCTAGAGATCAAGTTTGGAGGGTCGCTGGAGTACAGGTGGCAGGTGAATGCAAGGGGACGGACAAGAATGATCTCGGGTGACCGTGTAGCATAAGAAAAAAAGAGGGCCAAGGAGCCAAAGTCTGGGAGCAGGTTCATTTTCACGAAGGGCAGAAGAGGAGGAATTCACAGAGGAGATCGAGAAGGGCCAGCCAGGAAGGTAAGAGAACCAGGAAAATTAGTGTTCCAAGTCCCAAGATAGGTGTGACCATGAGTATGCAGCCTGCAGAAATCAAGATCGTAATGGAGAAGTGTCCGGTGGCTGCGGAAGGACGAGGGGCACCGGTAAGCTTGGTAAGGACTGAACCAATGTAGTGGAGGGCGGGACAAGAAACCAGCCTAGAGTCGAGTGAGAAGGCAGAGGGAGGTGAGGGTTAAAATTAGGCAACTCTAAGGATGTAGCTGCAAGGGGAAGTGAGAGTGGCAGCTGGAGAGGTTTCTAAAAGCTGGATGAAGGTGGTGGTTGGAGGAGCTCTCCCCAGTGGGAGGGGATAGAGCCAGGAGGGCTTGGGGGAAAGTTGTGGAAGGGGGTGATAAGGGCCTGTGTCAGGAGGGAGGCTGTTCACTGGGTCCCAGGCATCCCTATCAGGCTGGCATTTCCTCTCCATCCCCTTCCTGTCCCTGGCCAGGCCCTCCCTGGAGCTGGAAGAAAGAAGGAGCAAGTCACACCCTGGAAGAAGCTCTGTGCCTTTGGAGGTTTTTCTGCCTGCCCGTAAGCCGGGGCTGGGGCCGGGGCTGGGGCCGGAGCTGGGGCCGGAGCTGGGGCCGGGGCTGGGGCCGGGGCCGGGGCCAGGAGACGAAGGGGTCTGAGGGAGGGATGAGGGCCGTGGACCTGGAGCTGGCGTTTAGGCTTTGCGGGCGAGGGTGGAAGAGGGGATTGGAGAGGATGGGAAGTGTGGGGGCCAAGCTTCTGGAAAGGATCCTGGAGGCTTCCGCGAGGGCTAAGGCCTGGGCGAGTAATGCGGGGAGCTAATGGGGTGCCCACTCAAAGTCCCCTTGCCCACAGGTCCCCATGCCTCTCCTCCTCTTGCTGCTCCTGTTGCCAAGCCCCTCACACCCCCAATCCACCTGTGAGATCTCCACAGTGGCCAAGCAGGTGGAAGCGAACTGTGAGAACCGGGGGCTGAAAGTGCTGCCTCAAGATTTGCCAGGAGACACAGCCATTCTCCGCCTGGGTGAGAACCCCCTGGGCACCTTCTCCATGGCGGCCCTGAAGCCTCTGACTCACCTCACTCATCTGCACATGGACAACAGCCAGCTGACCGAGCTGCAGGCTGAAGGGGCGCTGCTGACAAGGCTGGAGACTCTGGAAATACCCCGCAATAAGCTGATGAGCCTGCCCTCCCTAGGACCGGCACTGCCTGCGCTCACTACCCTGGATGTCTCCCACAACAAGCTGAGCTCATTGTCTCCCGATGCCCTGCGAGGCCTGAGCCATCTCCATGAGCTCTCCCTGCGTGGCAATAAGCTGAAGACTCTGCCCCAAGGCCTCCTGGCGCCCACACCCCAGCTCAGGAAGCTCAATCTGGCTGACAACCAGTTGACAGACCTGCCCCCTGGGCTCCTGGATGGGTTGGATGAGCTTGACACCCTCTTCCTCCAAGGGAACTGGCTGCGCACCATACCAAAGGGCTTCTTTGGGAACCTCCTCCTGCCTTTTGCTTTTCTCCATGGCAACCCCTGGTTCTGTGACTGTGACATCCTTTATTTCAGTCACTGGCTAAAAAGGAATGAAAACAATGTCTACTTATGGAGGGAGGGTGTGGATGTCAAGGCCATGACCCCCAATGTGGAGAGTGTGCAATGTGTCAATGTGGTCAGGACAGCCGTCTCTGCCTACGCAGGCCAGGGCTGCCCCTCTCTCAAAGGCGGGGATGACGCAGATGACTATGACTATTATGAAGACGCGACTGATATGATGTCCACCACAAGGGCTGTGGTCACCAACGCTGAAGCCAACACAACCCCCAGGGGCCTACTTAACTCAAAATTTCCTGCTTCTCTACACAGCCAAATGCCCTACTTGTCTCCAACCCAGGAACCCACTAAGAAAGGGACCACATTCCCGACCACCAGAAAATCCATCACATTCTCCAAAACTCCAAAACCCACTACTGAACCCACCACAACGTGGGCTGCTCCAAAGGCCACCATAACTCCAGCCACCTCAGTACCCGCAACCCTACCCACCCCAACCCCGACCACCCCAGAACCCACCACAACCCCACCCACCCCAGAACCCACCACAACCCCACCCACCACAACCCCGACCACCCCAGAACCCACCACAACCCCACCCACCACAACCCCGACCACCCCAGAACCCACCACAACCCCACCCACCCCAGAACCCACCACAACCCCACCCACCACAACCCCGACCACCCCTGAACCCACAACCCCACCCACCACAACCCCGACCACCCCTGAACCCACCACAACCCCACCCACCACAACCCCGACCACCCCTGAACCCACAACCCCACCCACCCCAACCCCGACCACCCCTGAACCCACAACCCCACCCACCACAACCCCACCACCCCTGAACCCACAACCCCACCCACCACAACCCCGACCACCCCTGAACCCACCCCACCCACCACAACCCCACCCACCACAACCCCGACCACCCCTGAACCCACCACAACCCCACCCACCACAACCCCGACCACCCCTGAACCCACAACCCCACCCACCACAACCCCGCCCACCACAACCCTGACACCCACCACAACCCCGCCCACCACAACCCCCACCACCCACAACCCCACCCACCACAACCCCACCCACCACAACTCCAACCACCGCAGAACCCACCACAATCCAGACCATCTCAGAAACAACTATATTCTTAACCACCACAGAATCCATCTCACTCCCTATGTTAGAATCCACAACCATCATCACTGAATTTTTTGACTTCGCAAATGTCCGTAGTGTGGCTGACGGAAATGTGGCTAGCTCCAGAAATGACCCTTTTCTCAATGCTGACTTTTGCTGTCTCCTCCCCCTGGGCTTCTACATCTTGGGTCTCCTTTGGCTCTTTTTTGCCTCGGTGGTCCTCATCCTGCTGCTGATCTGGGTCCGACACATGAAACCACAGGCCCTGGACTTTGGCCAGTCTGTTGCTCTGGCCACAGCCAAGCACACCACACACGTGGAGCTGCAGAGGGGAAGGCAAGTCGCTGTGCCGCGGGCCTGGCTGCTTTTCCTTCAAGGGACACTCCCAACTTTCCGCTCCAGCCTCTTCCTGTGGGTCCGGCCTAACGGCCGCATGGGGCCTCTGGTGGCAGGAAGGCGGCCCTCAGCCCTGAGTCTGGGTCGTGGTCAGGACCTGCTGGGTACAGTGGGCATTAGGTACTCTGGCCACAGCCTCTGAGGGTGGGTGATTTGGGGACTTCAGAGGCTCTGATGGGTCTTCTATTAGGATGTAACTCAGGCTGGGTGGGAGTAAAAAGTACAGGGTTGGGGGAAGTCTTAATTACTTTTCCTTCTTCAGAAGTCTCTTCACACTGCAGAAACACCTCAGGCCCAGCAAATGAGGAGCGGTTGTGAGATGGAGTTGGGTGGGTCATGGAAAACAGCTCTCAGTGCTGCATCGGATGGGGGTGGGAGCGTTTCTCAGACCACTAGGTTACCACCACTTTGGGTAAGTTTTAGGAAAAAGCCAATAAAAAGCAGCATGGATCAGGGCCTCCACATTTATCTGTGTATTAAAACTTTGAAGTAATTGATCAAGACGTGAGCCCTGATTGTCTCTGGGTGTTACAAATATGGTTTTCCTTTCCTTTGCTTGGCATTCTCTAGTTCCCTACCATCATATTATTTGTATAATAAAAAAATAATTTCAAGACCTGGCTGGTGTGGCTCAATAGATTGACAGTCTGTGAACCAGAGTCGCCAGTTCAATTCCCAGTCAGGGCACATGCCTGGGTTTTGGGCCGGGTCCCCAGCTGGGGGCACGGAAGAGACAACCACACACTGATGTTTCCCTCCCTTCCCCTCTCTAAAAATAAAAAAAAATTTTAAAAAGGAAAATTCCTAATAAAATAATTTCAAAAAGAATTAGGTTCTTTTGGAGAATGGAGAGTGGCTGGGACACCTGTCTCTAGCATTGCCAAAGCTCCAACCACGCTCCAGGCCTGCGCCCTGGCCCCGCTCCCCATCCCAGCTCTAGTTGCACTACTCACCCAAAAATCTCTAGTCTTAGCTTGCACTTCCCCTGCATGGGGCACCTACCTCTCTTCTCCAGGGGGGACTCCAGGCCACACCAAGCACCAGTTCCAGGTCAAGAACCGTAAGGTTCTCTGGAGGTTAGCAGCACTGCCGAGGCCTCCCTGCCTGTGGCCTGCAGTACTAGGAGTGAACTAGGGTGCCTGCTGGTACCTGTGGCCTCAGAAGTGCAGCTTTCCTGCTCTCTTCAGGTGCGTGGGACAGAGGAAGGGTGGGGTTTTAGTGAATGGTCTGTTTCCTATCCTTAAGCTAGAACACATGCAAATGGAACCCACTCCTCACACCTGGTGCCAGATTTTCCTGTTCTCCTTACCATGTTCAATGGGGCCCAAACCCAGGATTGGGGTCCAGTGGATGGGAAGGCTGAGGCTTTCTGGCGCCACAGAGAACCCCTCCCCCAGATGGTGCTGGAAGGCTCTTCCTAACTTGAAAACCTTGACTACATTTCTCCCTCTCTGAACTCTTCCTTGGATAGAGGACAAACTCTTAAGCTTGGCAATCAAGGACTTCTGTGCACTGATCCATAGAACATTTTGGCTTCATCTGTTAACAAACACTTCACATGTGCTCCAGCTCTTGCAAACATCACATAGATCACCCGCTGCCCAGCCTTTCTCCTCTTAGCCTTTCCTCTCCTGTCAGCCAGGAGTGAGCCTCCCCCCCACCCTCTGCCCGCCCCCCGCCGCCCCCTGGCCCAGGCAGTCCAACTGCTACTGTGCACAGGTCTCTCCTCCCCTAGGCAGAACCAGGTGCTCTAAGTTACCCAGCAACGGTCTACTTCCAGTTCCCCAACTGCTCCTGTGTCTTTTTCTCCTCTGGACTTAGAAATCCTCAAGTATAAGGTTCAGGTGTCTCAAAGAGGCCACTATGTTCCATGCTGGTATGGGCGGGGAGCAGGTAAAAAGGCAGGGGAGGGCAGGCCCAGCAGGGATGCCAGGCTGCTGAGCTCCACCTCTTCTATCAAGAGACCCTTCCACATGCTGTCTGCCTGTCCCCCAGCCTGGCTCAGAAGACTTAGGGCCTCCTACTGCCCAACCCTCCTCCTAGTTGAACTTCCCATGCCTTTTTATGCCTCAAGAGGTTTTTAGGCTCCTAGAGGGCAGAGCTCTGGAATCACACAAAAAGATAATGCAGTCACTCTCCCCAGCCTAGTGCCCAGATCAAGTCTTTAGCCAACAACCGGTTTCCTGAAACCTCCAGGCTTTTGGGGCCTGGCTCCTGCATTCACTTCCTCAAGTCCTGCCCATCCACCCTCTGCAGGTCACCCTTCTCTTCTCAACTCTTTATTCCCACCCTCTTAAGGCCACGGAAGCAGTCACCAGATACCAGAGGCTTTTCCTGGGGATTACGTGGGATGACTTGTGCTGACTCGTGCATCTGTCGCGTTCTTGGGTGAGTGGCTGGGAAGCGAGACACAGGGCCCGGATTTTGGTTTTCCTGAACCCGTCAGCTGCTACAAGACTGATTTACATGGGGTTTTCATAAAACTAGTGGGTGCTTTTTCTTCAATAAGTTTTCTTTAAAAGTCCAGTTTCTGTTCTCAAGGACATAGCTTCTTTGTCCAGTCTCCTCCCCCTCCAGCCCTCACAACTCTTCAGATTTGGGGGTAATGTTATCAATCCAATTTATTAATTACGTCCACAGTGAGGTGCAGGAAGAAAGGCCATATCCTCCCACTGCAGACCCTCTGACCATCTTGACAGCTTCTGCCCTCTCTGGTCCCCTCGGCTCTGCCTTGGTTTCCCTACTGAGAGCGGGGATCTTCTGCTGTCCTATGTGCCCTGAAACTAACACCCAAGAGGAAGCTAGAAATTCTCAGAGTTTCTCAGCTCCTCCCAAGGCACGGTCAGGGACAGAGAGGTCATGAGGCTCAGGACAAGCAGGGTAAGCTGCAGCAGGGGTAAGACAGACCAAAGTCCTGTACCGCAGAGGAAGGAACCACACTGTGGAGGGAAAATAAATAGAGGAGCCCAGGGCAGTAGTCCAGGACCCCCAGGGGCACACTGGCTGTAGGAGTAGCAGGCAAGTGGGAGCCCCAGCACACTGGCTCCAGGCCCCTCGCCTGCCTCAGCCACTGAGGAAAAGACGCTTGTAGGCCTTGTTCATCTGCTCCAAGAAGATGAAGGTGAGGACGGTGTGGGGGCCCAAGCGGGCGTAGTACGGTGTAAAGCCCTTCCACAGGCTGAAGAAGCCTTCGTAGCGAACGACCTTCACCAGCACATCCTAGACAGGCAGGTGGGCAGGACATTGGGGCTAGGACCTGATCTCTGGAGCCCTGGGCCTCATACCCCACTACCCTCATTGTTTTCCCAGGACATCCAATCCTCCAGCCCAAGCACCCAGCCCTGCTTCCTCACCAGCCCGTTTTTGTATTCTGGCTTTCCGTCAATCATTCGCATGTTCTGGATCCTGAAGGAGAAGAGGGAGTGGTGTAAGAGACATAAAGGAGGCCCTCCCATCTTTCTCCAGGCCCAGGTATGAAAACTCACCGCGTCTTGACAATATCCACAGGCATGGAGGCAGCAGTAGTGACCAGGCCACTGATCATGCTGGCACAGAAGTGGCATAAGATGTTGTCAGAGAAATAGCCTGGGAGAAGCAGGACAGAGAGTGGCAGTCAGCTGGGAGCTGGCCGAGGCCATGCTGGGAGCTGAGGGTCCAGCTCTAGGTCTCACCTGAGTCCAGTAAGAACTGCTTGGATTGAGAGTAAGATGCGAGCTGGGCAGCATTGACGACAACCGCCCGAGCCATGGTAGGGATGCAGCCCTGGGTGGGAAGTAGGGGAGGAGTCAGAAATGCCTGAGACCTGGCCCTATGTCACCCAGGTCTCCAGCCCCTTCACTCACCCTCCATAGTGTGGGGACCCCTTCCTCCCGGGCAATTCGAATCAAAGCATTAAACACATTTTTGTAGCCGCGGCGCTGGTCAGCTGGAAGCCTGGTGAAAAGGCAGGGGGAGGCCAAGCTCAGGACAGACCATCCTGCCCCACAGAAACAAAGAAAGGGAGGCCAGAACAAATGAATGCTATGCTCTAGGTCTAAGATAAAAAACTTAGTCCTTAATTCTAGATTCCAAGGAATGGGGCTGGGAGCAGGCTCAGACCTGGAACTCACCGGCCATCAGCGGTCATGCGGATAAGAGCCACCTCAGCTGGTGTTCCCACAAAGGCACCAGTTGCACCTGCAGTCATGCCAATCAGGGCCTTCAACAGAAAGCCAGGGGGTGTACCATCAGCCCCAGTCAGGCGTTCAAATAGCACAGTATAGATGCCAAGACGAGTGGTGGTGTAAGTGGCCTGGCGTAGTAGGCCAGCTGACAGCCTGGAGAGTGAAGGGGTCAGTATCAGGCCAGCATCTGGAGCTGCCAACCCATACCCTAACCCCCATCCTGTGGCCCCAATACCCGGTATAAATGCCCCTCAGCCCTTCTGCCTTAAGGATGCTGGTGAGGGCATGGAAGCTGGTTTTGTACTCTCGTGTCTTGGCTCCTTCCCCGCTCAGCTGCATCCGGTTCTTCACCAGGTCCAGGGGTTGCACAAAAACTGTAGCTCCCATCCTGGGGGAAGACAGGAGTAGAGTCGAGGGCAAGGTGTTCCAGATCTACCAATGCCTAATGGAGCCTGGCAACAAGGGTCACAAGGGGCAAGGCCTGACATGCGATTGACTAAATACTCAGGAGGTTGGTAGGAATGTATGTAAGTCTCTCTGAGTATCAAGAACAATGGGTCTAAAAAGTCCCACAGTCCAGGAGCCATGAAATGAAAGTGCTCCATGCAGCTCCAAGGGGGTTGTCAAGCAGTGACCTGGGACTGCATGCAGCCCGACCCATTCATGACCAGCAGGAGCCATGCAATGACCTGGAACTCCATACAACCAGGCAGAGCCAAGCAATGGGTTGGGAATTTAGGTAACTGCCCCGCGGGAGCCGTACAACGATCTTGCATGCAACCTAGTAGGGGCCCTGCAATGGGTAAAAAGATGCTGGCAGCCCATCAAGAATCTCGAAATGCACTGAGGCCGGCGCTGACTCCGTGCCGGCTCGATATACTGCAACAGACACCAAGATGAACTGGGCCCCGCTCCTTGCACCCATCCCTTCCTCCTCTTTCCCATCCCTGGGGCCTGAGCTTACCCGGCCAGGCCCCCA